GTGACAGCCTTTGAGGTACTTATAGGGGGATATCATGTCTTCTCTTCTCAAGGCTGAACATGCCCAGTCCTCTCAGTCTGTCCTGACAGGGCAGTGTTTCCACACCTTGGATCATTTTTGCTGCTCTCCTCTGGACCCTTGGTTCTATGGGTTCCCAAACAACTGCGTTGCAAACACTACCCATATCAATGAAACCGAACAAGTAACTCCTGCATCCAGAAGCATTCAGCCACAAGATTCATGTACATATCCTTCCACTCTACAGTGGAAGAGCTGCACATTATCCTGAGCGACACAAAACCTTGTGGCGATGGTCACAGCAACATGCCAACTAAGCCTCACTCCTAGGTCAACACAGAAGAATAAGAAACTGTCCTTCTCCCCTTCCTCTGACACTAAACTGTAGCTGGTTGAAATCCCATCCACTCATTAGCACTCACTACCTGCTCACACATATCAGGGGTGAGGCTCTTTTGACTCGCAACTTTTCAAAAGGAATGCCATCGCCAGCTTCCAAAAACGACAACCAAGGGGGACATGCTCCTTCTCTGAATGGGTGAATGGGTGAATTCCATTCGAGAGCTCCACGCATGTGCACAGAACTCATGTGTGTGATGCAGAGAGATCACAAAGGATCAAATAAAGCAGTGACAACCTTGAGATTACAGTGCCCTCCCCAGCTGGGGACATGAACATAGAGAGATGTGGTGCAGAAATCCAAGATGTGGGTCAGGCTGGGCTTCCGGCTATAGGTGGGAGCCAAGGCACGTCTCCCTCAGGCTTCTAAAACTATAGCTAAGGGCTCATCGCAAAAAGCAGGAGGGTTTGGAGAGGACATTGCAATTCAAGCTGTGCTGCTAAAGGAGAACTTCACATACGCACTAGGAGTCTTCCCAGGGGAAATGGGCCACACTCGTCTCTTTTTAAATGTCAAGGCTGACAAAGGCTGAAGTGGCAGGCCAGAGCCCAGACTAAAAGCAGTATTAGGCCAAACTGATCGTTTCCACAGAGAATTATGAGGGGACAAACAGAAAGGGCAAAAGCATTGTTTGCATCCATCAGCGCTCGCGGGATTGTTATTGATAATGGGAAGGTAGAAGAGCAGGTCTAAGGAATTAGCATACATGCCAATCGCAGGCTCCTGTGTAATGTGTAATTTGGTGCAGGCCTGAATTTTGATTTTTTCATTATCTTTCACAAAAGAAATCTGCCCTCTTGGGATGAGATTCAAAGCATTTACTTTGTTGAAGAACTTAAATTCTCTCCTGAGAGAGGAGGAGGTATGGAAGCTCTCGCTGAAGAGACACCGTTAAAAGTAGGCGTGAGGGGGATGGCTACAATTTCCACTTACGGCAGTTGCGGAGAGGAAAGGAGGGGGAAAAACGTACAGAAGAGCTTGAAGTATTTTAGCCTCTGTGTGTGCAGTCATATGAAATCGGAATTAGTTGGGCATAAAAGCACAGGCCTGCTCTTTAAGAGGAATGTGAAACACAATGAAGAACCCAGAAGTAGAAAGACTATGATGGGTCTAATAAGTAGTTTTGGATGATGAACTCTCATGAGGCTTCACACTGAAGGGAGAGGTGTTTCCATTCCGTATTTTATTCTCTGCAGAATTAGATGTATATCACAGCTGGAAGCAGATCTAGCCACCGATTTGCTTGACCCCAAGGGAGCCCCTATGCAGTTGCAGTGCTAAAGCAGTGAGTGAAACAAAGCAAAGAATCTTTCGCTCGGATTGTTTCAAGCTCTGAGAAATCCTTTGAACCCAACAGATTGTCACAACCAGCAAGATCTACAAGACAGACTTTTAACAGCTCTATCCTCCCCGACACATACAAGAGGATACGTCGTCCGTGCGGATGGGGGCTCCCAGCTCAGATGGGGGAAAGGACCTTCTAATAGCACGGAGTGAGTCGGCAGCTTTATACGTAAAATCGAGCTTAATTAAAAATGGTCACTGGGTGTGAAAAATGCTACCTGTACCGCTGCTTTACTCATCAACCAAAATTCATTGCTTGCTGGTTTTATTTGGGACACTGAGAAGTAAGTACTAAGCCACAAAAGGAAGTTTGAAGAAATATTTCCAAGCGCCACCAATGGGAAATATAAACCTTCCAGCTTGGAAGGTGCTGAAACGGCAAAGACTATGAAGTACCCATGACAGCAGAAGACTTATCTTCAAAAACTCATGTGAGGAGGAAGCTGTTGGCCTGGTCATGAGCTGATGTGGGAGTAAGTTCCTATTTAATCTACGCTGGTGTAAAAAGAAACAAAAAGCAATAGAAAAGTGGTTCTCAAGAAAATATCTAGACAGAACGGAGTTTGGTTTTAATTAAGAGTTGGAGGGTGCCTGATGGCTTCCCAAAGAAGTGGCCTCATGTCTTTTTTTCCTCTTCACTACACAATGGGAAAGTATCTTGCATCAAAGGTGTGATATGATGCCGGGCTGTTGGGCAGTGCCCAGCACACCTGAGCACTCACCGAGCTCTCCGTGCGCTAGGAGGAACAACCACTGATGGAAATGAGGTGTCCCACCTACCGTCCTGAGTAGGGGAGGCCAGGAAACTGCCACTTCGCAGTCCCCTCCAGTGCCCCGGAATGATGCTACACAGACATTTTGCGAGAATCAAGATGGCAGCTTTGCCATTTGGGGCACCGCTGCCTCGCCACTGGCAAGCTCGAGGGCAGGACCCCCTCTGGCAGTCCTGATGCCACCTCATCCTGCCTGAACATCCGCTGTGCCTCTCCTGACCTCCAGGGAACGCCACCGGCTTCTGCTTGCAGGCTGAAAAAACACACGGTGGGACAGCATGCAGTGCCCCATGTTCTGAGACAGAAGCCATCCCTAGGAAGGCCAGGAAGATGTGCTGCTGTTACCGGCGTCTCCCACAACGCCTGCTTCCAGCATCAGGCCGAGGTGTGTTCTGCCATTCCTCTTAGGGCATGAAGTTGGCTGAATAAATGCAGAAGGAAGCTAGAGAATGGCCTTCTGTGGAGCTAAACCACTGCCCCATCTGGCTCAGGATTGCCTTCTCCAGAGCTGGTAGTGGCTCTGGAGAGTTTCTCAGCTCTACCTGGAGATGCTCGGCTTGAAGCTGGGATTGTCTGCATGCAAAGTGTGAGCTACACCACTACTCTACAGCTAGAATGCTGAGTTTCCTCCTCCTCCTGTATGAATCCCAAGCTCAGCAGTGACCTGCCAAAACACTAAGAAAAAATTTAAGATTAACAAGTTTCCCTCCCAGAGGAGACATTTCATATGTTACTTCTTCTAACATGGCAATTAATTTCTGCATGGGAAAAAGACATCTCTGTGCTTTGACAACTGACGGGCAGCAGAAGGCGTTCCTCGTTGCTGTCGAACCTGTATCAGCTGCCTGTACACATGTTCAAAGCAAAACCCACACTCGGGCCAGAATTCAAAGATGACAACTTGTCCATTAGGAATGCTCCTGAATTCCATCCTAGCTGGACTCCGGGAAAGAATCCTTGGTACCAACCAGGGTGGAAGCACTCCTGGTGCAGAATTCGCCAGTGGGGTCCCAAGAACCAGAATGCAGCACAAGCGCTTTCTAATGGCAGGGATACTGGTGTAATTTCCTGCTCCCTTCACATTCGCTGCTCCCTCTGAGCTTAGTCACAATCCTCACCGTTGCTCAGGTGGGGGTGAAGGGGGAATTTTATTATAGCTGTGGGCAATTCCCTTTGTCCTACAAAGGATTTTGAGATGGCCTGGTCTTAAGTAGGCAATTAAGACCTTGTAGCTTTATTAAAGACCTGCTCCTGGCAGAGATGAAAGCTGTTGGAATTGGTTTCTTGATCCGGATCCACACAGCTGCCTCCATCTCCTTGGGACATGCAGCTACAGGGACTGGCAGGATGGGAGCATGTGCCTCAAAACTTACCACTACAGCACCGTAGTAGATATAACACTTGCTGAGGGATGCATTCTGAACACCTCCAGAAATGCTACCTGCAACTGATACAGCAAGGGGCACTATTTTCACTCTCCCAGGCTGCGCTGCAGGCTCTGTGCTGGCAAGGGACCCCTGGAGCAACCGTGGGCTATGTCTGGAAGGCCTTGGCATGATCCAGTTGCAGCTGGTGTGGCGGAAAGATTGCAAGATGTGGGTTGGCCTCCTAAAGTGACCCCTCTTCATGGGCTCTGGTCCAGTTCCCATGAGCCACCTGGGCGCACTGGGAGAGGAGAATGGATGGATTGCATTATGGAACCCACCGCTGTGTGTGTGCTTTCCCCTCTTCGGTGCTGAATTACATACGCACTCAGATAAGGACTGGATGAAATATGATTTAACCATTGTCCAGTCAACCTCTATCTGAGGTTTTAAGTGAAATGACCCATTTGGAATAATAAATGCTTTATCCAGATCCCATCTAGTTTTCCAATCGACTCAGAGAAGATGAAGCCATTTTTGCAAATCTTTGCAACTTCATCTAGAGTAACTATACAAAAATGACACCTTCCACTAAATATTAGGGATACAGATAATGAAACTAGCAATGTTTGCCTAAGCTCGCATAACTGCCTTTCCCACCCAATGGACCAGTAGCTAAGTGAAATAGTTCTGACAAAAGAACCCTATTCCTGTGAAGCAAAATTAAAGTATATTTTTAAAAAGTACGAGCACCTGGTGCTTCAAAATAAAATTGAACAGATAATGCTACATTTACACCTGTGCTTTCTAGCGACTAATGGTAGAGCAGTCACATTCCACAAACCATTGTGGTGCTCCAGATCTCACATAGTGCGCCTGTACAAGTAGCAGCTCATTTATTCACACCTTGGTGTGAAAACTCGCTACGCACCATGAGAATTTTCAATACTGAATACTCTGAATTTTCAATACAGAGATAGCCCCATCAGATCATGGTGTTTTAAGTACACGCTGGAGCCATTTGCACAACGCAAACTCCTGAACTGAAGATCTATGCATGATCACGACTATGAAAAAGCTAACGCATGCGGCTGTACTTACTCTGGGGACGGGGGACGTCTGGGTACCCTTCTTTTGGCCACTGGTCTCGGGTGTCAGGTCTCGATGGTCCAGCTGGAGGTGGTTCTCCAAATCTTCGGCACTTTCAAATTTGACACTACACTCTGGGCACCTCAGGCTGCCACAAGGTCTTTCGCTAACTTCCGGTGCGGTCATGGCCAAGGATTGTCCATTGGTGGTCCTTGTCATGCATCCAGCACACAGACCATACGGTAGCCCATTAACATCCAGTTTCACCAAGTCTTGCTTGTTCCTGAAATCTTTCAAGCACAGAGCACACTTGTAGAGTTTCTGCAAGGCCTGGCCATTGGGAGATGATGCCGCCGAGTTCCCGACCAACTTTTGCATATGGAATGTTCCGTGGATTTTCAGCTCGAGAGTTGAGGTGACCGTCTGCATGCAGACAACACAGCGAAATCCAGTGAGGGAATTCCTAAGATCAGGGTGCATCTGGCAGTGCTCAATGAACTCCTCTTCGCTCTGCAGAGGCATTTTGCAGATCCGGCACGTTCCTGTATCCAAGCTCTTACTGTGAGTGACTTTGTGCTCAGTCAGGGTCAGAAGGGATGGAAAGCGTTCTCCACAAATGGGGCACATGTAGTGTTTTGCCGGGCCTCGGTGGGTCTGCATGTGCTCCCGGAGGCCGTTTTCTGAAAAAAAGGTCCTCGAGCAGATGTTACACTTGTGACTACCTTTAATAAATTCGGCTTTCTTTCTGGAACAGTCATCCTCTCCTGGTCGGATGTTATGGTCCCTCAAGCGATGGTTCTGCAGAAGGACCTCCATGGTATAAGCTGCCCCACATATATCACAGCCGTACATGGGTTCAGAAGCATCAACGTCATCCTCGCTAGCTTCATGGCTGTTTGACGTGTCTGGATTTTTCATCAGCATGTTCTGGATTTCTGCAGAGTCAGCCTTCTTGTTGGTGGGTGTCATGCCGTTGGCTGTGCCATTCTCGGTGCTGGCATCGAAGACACAGTGTTTCTCTCGCAAGTGTTTTTCCAGCAGGATAATAGCGTGGAAAGCTTTGCTACAGAACTTGCAGTTGTATTTCTTACTGTGGGTTGTAATGTGGCACTGAAGCTCCACCTCAGTGCTAAAGGTCTCCCCACAGAAGATGCATTTGTGTGACTTTGAAGGGTTGCCCAAATGGCTATGCTTCACGTGGATCTGAAGGTCCACCTCCTTCCGAAAATCCCAGTTGCAGGCTGTACATCGATACATCTTCTTCTCGTTGCTGTGCTTCACTGCCAGATGCACCTGGATGGAGACCTTGGAGTCGAAAACCTCTTGACACAGAGTACAGTGATACAACACAAAAGTATGCATGTCTAGCAAATGCTTCTGTAGATCATCCACTGATGAAAACTGCTTGTCACAACTCTCACATACATAATGAGTGGAGGTCGTCATGTAATGGACAGTGAGGTGCTGCAGGAGTGAGTCTTGCGAATCAAAGTCCTCTTTGCACTGAGGGCAGGACTGCTTCCTTAGCAACAATTCCAAATGCAACTTCAAATGAGTCTGGAAGCTTTCAAAATTGGAGAACTTCAGCTCACACTGATTGCAAGGATATTCACCATTTGAAACAGAGTTGACACTTGCAGAGAGTCGCTGCCGTTTAGGGGACGAAACCTCAACATCAGAAGAAACCGGGCTCTGCTCCCCTTTGGACTTCTTATTGTGGGCCAGGGGAATATTCTTGTGGTTTTCTTTAATATGTTTGGTTAGCTTGAGGATGGAGCCAAAAATGGGCGAGTTTGTGCAATATGGGCAGGAATAGACCTCCATAAAAGACTGCGATGGCTGGACCACGGGAGAATCCAATTTCGAGTTTCCTATGTTGCAATGTGTTTGCTGGATGTGCTCGGTCAGGGAGGCTTCTGTCAGAAAGCCCATGGAGCACTGGTTGCAGAAGAAGGCATTGCTGCCATCCGGAGCTGTGGTGCCCGGTCCACAATGTGCCACACGGATGTGTTCCTGCAAGCTGTTGATATCCGCGAACATCTCCGGACAGTAGTTGCAGTGGAAGGCCGAGATGTTGCTGAACTGCATCATTGGGTAGGCGTGGTTTTTGTGCACCTTCCTCACGTGCTCATTCAAGTTGTACAAGGTGGGCATGGAGTCAAGGCAGATCTGGCACGTGTGGCTTTGCTGGGGTTTGTCCCCATGGATGGTCTTCAGGTGGATCTCCAAGACCGCAAGGCTGTTGAAGTCACGTTTGGTGCAGTACGGGCAGCTGTAGGCAACCTTGGACCAGGTCTGCCCCTCTTCTCTTTCCAGGGATCTCATCTTCTTTTGCCCTCGCAGTGGTTTCAGCGTCGAGTCAGGAGTGGAGCCCCGCTCCACGGATGCGCTGGAGTCTGGGGTGGCGCTACTCATGGAGGCCACGCTGCCCAAGACGGGGTCTGGGCTGATGCTGTGGTTGCTGGAATCAGGCTGCCGGTGACTATCCAGGTGGCAGTAGACTTCCTCCACTGAAGAGAACTGCTCTGGGCACATGGGGCACTTGTGTTTCTTGTTGGCATGGACTTGGTGGATGTGGGAAAGCAAGGCGTTCTCATCCGCAAATACTTCCGGGCAATGGATACACTGCAGATCGGCCTTCTCCGAGAGCTGTGGGTGCCGCATCATGACGTGCTTCTCCAGCTCTTCCGTCTGGTTGAACGTCTCCTCACAGTAGTCGCACATGAAGTCGTCCTTCTTGGCCTCCTTCTCGCTCTTGGCCACGTGCTCCTTGTTCTTCTTGTGGGCCTGCATGTGGCTCTGCAAAGAGCTGGTGGAGGAGAAGCCGCGCTTGCAAACGGTACACTTGAAGGGCTTGCTGGAGCTGTGCGTCTTCAGGTGGATCTTGAGGTGGTCGCTGCGAGAGAAGGCTGCCTCACACTCGTGGCAGTGATACTTCTTGTCCCCCGTGTGCAGCTTGATGTGCCGGTCCCTGCTCCTCTTGTGCTTGAAAAGCCGGCTGCAGTAGGTGCATTTGAAAGGTAGCTTGTCACTGTGGATCTGCTCGTGCCGCTTAAGGTAGCTCAGGCGAATGAAGGACTTATCGCAAAACTGACAGGGATACGGCAGGCCGGTCCCCCCTTCCTCCTCCCCGATGCCGAGATCACACCCATCTCCTAGCATCTGAGTGGGTGATGCAACGTCTTTGCTGGAGGGAGATGAAGCCACCCAGGAGAGCTGTGGGTCGTCATCGCCATCTGTAATGGGAAAGCAGAAAGGAGATTAAAAACAATTCCCAGTGCATCTGTGAAAATAGGGACAAAGCCATTCAACAACACTATGGCCCCTTCTGCTACTACAGTATTTAAAGAGAGAGGAAGATTCAACTGCTGAAGGAAAACAAAACCAAAAGAACCGATGCCTCCAATGCCTCTTGAATCTTAAATGGATATTTGAGCAAGATAAGGAAAAAGGCAGATAGCCTACTGCACAAATCCATTTAAAAAAATAAACATGCCAAACACAGAGCATCACTATTAATGCTAAGTAATTTCTCCTTCCTCCCCATCCCCTGTCCCCCAAGCAGGCTTAACACCTGTCTACTCCACTGCCAAGCAATAAACAGCAAGTCAAGAAAACAAAACACAACATGCCTCAGAGCGATACAAACATTTCTAAGAGCTGCTGCGTTAAATGCTCGTACGTGAGTATTTTTTCAGCAGATACTAGTTGGAACAGATTTCAAATAATACAGCCTGGAAAATCCTTCTCAACCTTGCCTCAAAATGGGAAAGGCTGCACTGAGGCAGCTACAGTCCTCCCTCTCTCTCTCTCTCTCTCTCTCTCTCTCTCTCTCTCTCTCTCTCTCTCATTCACACACACACACACACACACACACAGAGAGAGAGAGAATCACTCAATACCAGAGTGACATAAACGATGAATTTCCCAAAAGCCCACTTGCACCTGAAATGATACTGAAATCAATGGTCAGAAGCTCAAAAGGGTAATAAGGTTTCCAATGACTTTTCAGCCATCAATTAGCAGCAAAACAGGTGCCCCCTGCTTGCGGTGCGAGGACAGCACTCCACACTACGCACCTAACTTTCAAGGTGTATTTCTCTGTGGTCGGAGTCAGCTCGGCGTCAGTGCCAATTTCATGCCATCTGTGCTCGCCAACTCTGCAGCAAGACAGGAGCTATTTCAGCAGCAGCCAGAGAAGGCAAGCATCTCTGATGCCACAGCCGAGGGTTCCAGGGCCTGGCACTGCCATGGCGTAGGGAAGGTCTGCTGGGAGACCTTGGCCACATTGTAAGGAAAGACTAAGGCTGAGACACTGATCGTGTTGCTAATTTCCAATTTGCAAAAGCCTATTCCCTTGCAAAAGGGGAAAAAGGGCAGCTCAACTCAAAAGGACTGACTTCCCTACACAGCTGGTGTTGCCATCATATTCACTGCTAGTGTTTGCCTTGCTCGTGTTTTCACATCTTTGACAAGTGGACAAAGAAAGAAAGGGAGACCAGGTATTCGTGGTCAGCACAGGTAAGCTGCAGCACCCATGGGCCCCAGGTTATCGTTCCAGTTCCCTGCCACCATTTCTTGCTCCATCCAAACCCTGGGAGGGTGGCTTGTCCATTGATTAACCACCCATCATCCTCACTGGCTTCAGAAGATGACGACGCAGGAGGATGCGCACTGCGAGCATGATTATGGCAATTAGGTCTGCACAAGTCTGGCACATGCAGGCTGGTTGACACCCCCCTGACTCATTAACCATCGTCATGCCAGGCAAGCCAGCTCACACAGCGACCCTGTTCCCACAATCAGAACTACACCCACATGTATCAAGTTGCCGATTCAGCCCCCTCCCACCCACCATATCATCTGAACCCAACAAGTGAGCTTGTGCAGTGAATGGGAATAAGCCATGCCACAGCCCTCCAAGAGGTCATGGTTCTGGGGGGCTTGTTAACCACTCCAACAAGCCATCCTTGTCAAGGTTTAGGCAACACCAGAATCCAGCAAGGTTAGTTAGTTAGTTAGTTAGTTAGTTAGTTAGTTAGTTAGTTATTTATTTATTTATTTATTTATTTATTTACAGGTAAGTCAGGCTGGCTAACAAAGCTACTGCGCCATGTCAACCAGTTGGGAGTCATGCAAACCAGCCCAGAACTGGTTCTCAGCAACCCGACTCTTCCCCACCTCTTCTGAGGCTTCTGCTTACATGATCCAAAAATCATCAAGGTATACACAGGCACGCACACGACTCTCCATTTTCAGTGTTCATGGCCAACCAAAGAATATCTGATTGCATTCTTTAGAACAGGCCTGCCCTGTAATGTCACAGATACTAAGATTTTATTTTTTCCTTAAAAACTGGCCTGCTGTCTGTTTATGTCACCTGTTCCCAAACTGTGAGGGAGCCCCCAAAAATCCAGAAGGGCAAAGTTCTTGCAGCAGGATTAGCTCAAGTTTCTTTCTTCTAGTAGTGGCAATTTAAGCACAGCACGACCCAAGATTACTCTGCTAACCACAAAATCTGCCATGAGGAAAGGGCAACATAGGAGCTTTTGGCAGGCTAGCTAGGAGAACAAGCAAGATTCTCTTATCAAATCTCCTTCTAACAGAGCTCCACTGTGGAAAGTTGGATAAGGAGCAAGAGAGATTCAGGTTCAAACACCTTGTCAGCCATGAAGCAAACCGCGATGCCTCCGGACATTCACCGCCAACTTAACTGGAGGGGGGATGTGAGGATATAAAGAGAAGATGAACAGAGACCCATGGATCTCAACTTGAGCTCTTGGGAAGGAACAGGGTACCATCAATGCAACAAAATCAAGTATCCTGGTGAATGAGAACCCCATCCAGTTTCCTAGGCACACAACAATGGGCTGCCTACACATCAGAAGAATCTGTGCCTTTACCTATCCAAAGGAAGGCTAGCAGTAGCTTTGGAAGGAAGCAGAACAACAGGAAGGCTTACAGGGGGAAGAAAATCCCAGGACGGCTAGAAGTGGCTTGACCACAGATCCCTCATCTGTTCTACCGCCACTTCGAGTGGAAAAGCCATTATGCTATCATAGAACTGGCTTTGTGGCTCCTGGCATTTCCAAGTAAAGCTGTGAAAGACACATCTAAAACCCTAGATTGGTACCGACAATCCATATAAGTAGGTAATACTGAGATCTGCCTTCGTAAAAAATAGCTTCCTAATTTTCACTCCTACCCCACTTTAGACTGTCTGTCTTCACCCCCCAATTTAGAGGGGTGCAGAAGTCCAGTTTGAGAAAAACTGATCATTTCCCTCCCTCTCATCTGTCCCCTTTCCCACCATTCTTTTTAAAAGAAGCCTAGTCTTACTTTGCTAAAATTTAACAGGCTCCTTCCCAAAAGGTCCCATCTGCTTCTGGGCTCACTGCTAAGATGCCAATTATTATCCGCACATTGTCATCTAAACAACTTGGGAGTGCCACATTTGTCTCCATCACCTCAGGCTCATTCTGTTCTGCTCAGAAGGGATTGTTCCATGTCTATGCAAGATTAGGAATGTGCCCATACAAAGAAGGATCTTCTCGAGGACTGGACCACAACTATTATACTCGCCATGGCCCGAGAAGGCCAGAGCGATCGGCGTTCGCTCCAGTAGAGAGACCCAAGACTGCCTTCCGCAGCTGGTTAGGGAACTGCCAGGCTGACCTATTTTTCAGCATAATCAACCTCAAAGGGTTGTTGAGAAGATAAAATGGAGGTGGGGGACCATGTCTGCAGAAGAAGGATGAAAGTAAATTTTATGGCATGCTCGGCATTCAGGTCTTACTGTATCCCAGCCTACTGCCAATACAGCATAGGATGCATTCACTTGTATTTTAGGGTTGTGTTCCTACACACTGTTCCCTAGGAGTACCCCCACTGAGGATAGTGTGGCTTTTGTGTGAACTGTGATAGGGCTGTATGGGTACATCATTTGATGGGCAGTCATAACCTCTCAGTAACATGGAGACTTAATTATTGGCAATTAATAAGACTTGTTAATTAATAAGACTTATTAATTATTATTATATCCCAGACAGAGCACATTTGGGGAATCTTTCCATTTGGCCTGATCCCCTTGGAAGCTTTAACACTTGTATAGTGGAACAACCATGTGTGCTTTCTTGGGTGCCTTCCTTATAAATCTAATAAAATGATATGTATCAGGATTTGTGCCATGGGAGAACCATCAACCGGCACGGTGCAGTGCTGAGAGTGCTGCACTGGGGACCTGGGAAATCCAGGTTTGAGTCCCCACTCGGCCATGAAGATCTTCCGGTGAGTCACTAACCCTAACCTACCTCACAGGGTTGTTGTGAAGATAAAATGGACCCATGTCAGCTCCCCCGGGTTCTTTGCAAGCGGGAAAAGGGCAGGATATAAATGCAATGTAATTAGCAACATGCAGCATATACCTTCAGACATCTGGGATAGCGTTCTCTTTCCTCTCTGCCCTTTCACAAATAATAAGATCTGAACTTTCCAGCCCTGCATTTTATTGCCAAGTTCTGCTTATTCTTGCATTAGGCAGCTAATTTTTTCCACTCTGCTGTTTTTTATTATCTTTTCTCCTGCTATGCCTTCTTTTCTTTTTACTGTCAGTTCTTCATGTAAACTGCTTTGGGTATGGATCCATGAAAAAGCATACACACTCTCTCTCTCTTTCACACACACACACACACACACACACACAGAGAGAGAGAGAGAGAGAGAGAGAGAGAGAGAGAGAGAGAGAGAATAGTCAAGAACGTAAAATTAAATAAGCTAAAAGATGCAGCCAGCTAAGGATGGCTCTCTCTCTTGCCACAGAAGAAAAACCTGGTGAGTATTTAAGAGAGAATATATAAAGACTAAATTGTGACTTGTCCGATTCATCACATGAGCCCCAACTCTGCTCCCCACACCTATGCAGGATTATATCTTGTGCAGAGGAGAAATTAAGCCAAGCTCTGCAGATTATAAATCAACAACACTGCCCGTAACGAGCAAGCTTTAAGCTTTGCCCTGGACAGCCTCTGTCTCGCTCTCACGCCAGCTCCAGTCACAGGGGGCCTCTCTCACCAAGAAAGAAAGGGGGAGGTTGCTTTTTCAGCCCCCAAGGACTTGAATTAATGGGCTCTTCTGACTGGAAGGATACAGCTGGCTGCTTGCTCCCTGGATTAGATTCAGCAGGAAAGGACCAGCAAACCACTGCACAGACTAATTCCCAACTCACGCCAGCTGGGCC